AAGAAGGGATATTCACCCTTGGGTCAATCTTAATTGAAGATCAACACTAATGAGATGTACTGAGATATATTGGATCAACTCCCTTCCAAAACTAATTCATGGACAAGCATGAAATAAAAATTGATCAAGGATGACGATCCTTTCTTACTCTTCTCACCTTAAATCCTTTTTTTTAAACAATCTTTCGTCTCTCTCTCTCTCTATGTATATATATATATATATATAGAGAGAGAGAGAGAGAGAGATTTGGAATCATGTGAGACCATGTTGTTTACGTGAGACCCTGTTGTTTACGTGAGACTATTTTCTTACACTTAAAACTTTACAGCAGTACACTATGAATGTAACCTTCACATTGTTTTCGCTGTGAAAGTTCGGATTTTTTTTACTTTCACAATGTTTTGCTATGAAGTTTCAACTGTAAAAAATGTAGTCTCACTTGAACCCAACTATATATATATATATGTGTGTGTGTGTGTGTGTGTGTGTGTATATGTATATATAAGGGAGGGATCAAATGCAAACCAAACCATTTGTACAAACCGTAAAAACATCATTCAACCAATCACAAAATTTTTTCTTCACTTTTTTAGGGTTGATTGGTCATTTTATTGTGAAGGTCGTTAATTATGGACATTATCATCTTCATTATATTGTTTTTAAAAACAAATTTCATCAAAATGAGAAATACATTTAATTTTTATATAGAAACAAAAACTTTATGAAACAATTTCATCATATATTAAACAATTTTTATAAAACAATTTCATTAAATTAAACAATGTAATCGATGGTTTGTATGGTTTATATGAAATCAATGGTTTGTATGATGATGAAGACCGCGGTGTCTTACGACGTTGAAGAAAGTGTTGAAGAAGATGACGTCGAGTTATGAACTTACGGTGTTGAGTTGCTGTAGACACTTGAACATACATAAATATTTCTAATTAATATAACACGTATATACCATTTCACATAAAAAATGGTTAAACAGAAAAAAACTATATCGAGATAGATATCATATCGAAGAGCATAAAATTCTTATTTCTTTGATGTAATTTGGTACAACTATCGTCTTGTTGAAGAGTCCGTATTAAAAAATTAATATATTTTTTCGTATATTACATGTCTTCTATGGATGTATATACAAATTTAATTAAAAAGGTGTATAAAAATAAAACATAATTTGATATTTCTCGGTATGAATCAAACCCATGTTTAAATAGCGTTTTTATATTGAAAAATCATATTTTAAAAGTCTTGTTTAATAATCTATTAAAAATATATATTTTTAGTAGATATTAATATATCATATGCAATGTTTTAAATGGAGGGATGCGTGTCGTGACGAAAAGGTCAAGCCTTAAGCCTTGAAAGCCACAATGAGGTCGCAGCGTTTTTCAACGCGTGACCTATGTCGGCAAATCTGTATATCATATTAATTATTATATATATATATAAACATATATTTTCTACAATTAGTCAATGATTTAATAATATTAAATAATTTAAATCAAGTTATACATTAGAAAACTAACAAATTCGGCTTTAAAAAAGTGAAAAAAATCAAGTATTGCTTTACAAAATCTGCACATCAGATCATGACATGCTAACTTAAGTACTTAACGTGACATGAGACACAAGAGTTAGTATAAGACACACCACAACGGCTGTTGCAATGAACTTTTTTGAACACTGATCACAACTGAAACTTAACCAAAAATTTTAAAGTACATTAAAAAAAATAAGCATTTCAGAGAAGTGAATTAAATGCACCCATTTATTTTATTAAATGCATCAATACATATTAATTATCTCCTTATATACATCAATATCAAGATTTACATTTTTCAATACATGACTTGATCTGATTTTGATATAAAAAGAATGTATATAATATTATTATTTAAAATCAAATTTTAATTAAAAAAGAAAAAATCCCTAATTATCACTAAACTATAAATATTAAATAGTCCAAAAATGGAGAAAAAGACAATGAATCATGGGGAAATGGGTCGGGTCAAACATGTTGGTCTCTATGTTTGTGAATATTTTTGTTTAATGTGTTATTAATGCAATAAATGGTACCTTAATCCTTTAATAATCATATCGAAATCAATCCCGGATAAGGTTGCCCACGTTTGGATTTTCTTTTAATATTATTGTATATAATCTCTTTTTTATATATATATTTTTATGGTATCTGGTAAAATTCTATATTTATACGAATAATATATATGTTCAGATACTGATGTGTCTTAATAAAATTCTAAAAGACATGATGACGAGTTAAAACCTTATAAGATACAACATTTTTTAAGGCATGACTTAATATGTTTACGTATATACATCTGGGTTCAAATAAATAAATCAAAAAATGTTGAGAACGTAATCATTGGTAAAAACATGAGTTCCCGTATACATTTTTAAATGTGAATAATTTATAAAAAAGTAGGTAAGAAAGCATGGACCTATGATCAAATTGATTTTTTTTTTCTACGTTAATCAATAATTCACATGTGAATTATTAGTTCTTATGTGGCTATGTGCTCATTTTTTATTATTATTAAATTAGATATTCAATCCCTTATACAAACCGATTAATCTCAGAACGATCATATGTTTTACGGGTAACACTTTTGATCTTTGGAGGCAAGCTCAAACCAATCATGCACTACCATTGTGGTTAGAATAAGATAACTTACGGTTGTCGAACTATTTTTTATCAAAATAGTTAATAAGTTAATCATAGATGGATTTAGAAATTTTTCGAAGTGATTACATCAACTAATTATCGTAAGATAAAATAAGAATTAATTAAAAAATACGGGTTTATCATACAAACATACAATTAATGTCAAAAATATATTATTTTTTATTTGTGTAACATTAAAAATTTAATTAATTTTAAAAGTATTCAAAATTTGGCTCACTTTGAAGGTATTGACGACACTTTTATAACGGTGTAATTTGAAAAAAAAAAGTATTTTTAATATATATTAACTAGTAATTAATTAATTAATTAATACGATATGGTTATAAAAATAAAAATTGATAAAGCAAGGGAAGTTAATTAAAACCACAAATGTATTTGAAGGGTTAAAAGCGTAACAAATTTCCACCCACCATACGAAGGAATAAAAGCCTTGCAAACCAACTCTATCAAATAAAACTTGTTCTCATTGTAGTTTCAAAATACATACGGTGGCACACAACAAATTAATACGGTTGCACCATTCACAAAACCTAAAGTTTTTACCCTTCGACGGAAAAACAATACGGTGGCACGTGCCACCCATGACACTTAACTAGGTCCGATTATGCTTCACGGGAAACAATGCTCAAAGGGTAGGTCCGCTCCCTGAAGCTAACTGCTAGTTGTTTGTTGATAAGTTAAATTGTCAGTTGAAAACTAGTCGTTAGATGTAAGCCTTAAAGACATGTTAAAAACATATAAGAAGAATAATCGAATGAAAGTGGAAAAGCTCCTAAAATATTACTTAAAGAAGGTTATTGAAACCCTACTTGAATTTTCTTAAAATCTACCATATGGCAAACTAGATGAAAGTTTTTTTTATTAACCTAGATATCCAATTTGTTATGCGAGCCGATTGATCTCAGTACGATCACATGTTTTGCAAGTAGTCCGGAGTCATCACATTTGAACCTCCGCGACCACAAGAGGTTTTTATTCCTCCTTGAATTTGAACTTGAACTTGAGACATTCAAACTCAAACCAATCAAACACTACCCTTATAGTTCCAGAAGAATACTCTCGGTAAGTCCAAAAAAACAAGTTAGGTTATTGTTGTGGTCGTAATATCTCTGTCGTTCCTGTGCTAATTCATGGCCAATACCTCACCGTGTGTTCCCTTCTCCACAGGAAAACAACTGTGTGTTGTTGAGAGAAGCGATGCGTGTGAACACAAACCTTGGATTAAATCGTCTGAACACAATCCCTGAAACACGGATGGTCAAAACCTACAACTGAACCATTTGAATGAAATTTTAGAGATTTGGATTAAATATGAAGCAAATGCAGGGACGGAGAAAGTGAGATATCGGAGGGATAGAAAAAGAACCCATGTTCTAAAAGGACAATTGTTCCTCATGTACACACGTAATGCCACTCAAACAGGAGGGGGATAGATGAGGTTAGGGTTAGGGATGGACTAAAACCAAAACAAAACCTGTATCTCAATCACTTCTTTTTTTGTAATACATGAATTGTAGGGATTAAACCAAAAAAAGCATTGTACGACAAGAATTGTTAATTTTGCAAAGTTGTCCATGAGTCTTTAACCTAACGGGTATGGAGGTGAACATGAACGAGAGGTCTGTGGTTTGACTCATGGGCCAAGGCATCACTCACCTTCCTTAGGGAAACGATTTCCTTTCTTTTATTTTTACAATGGTTGTGGGACTGGTACAATAAAGGCGTTGCAGATTATGATGTCATACCTTTTTTACAGAACATTGCGACACTCGGACAAGAAAAAGTAGCAAATTTTATGTCATTGGTGTGACAACCCCATCTCGTATTGATACGATGAGAAGTTTATGTATTTTATAGTCTAACTCCTAAATTGTAAGCTAGTATTAAGTTGGTATTTATTATATAAAAAAATGTTGGCAAACAATCGAGTTTGAATTGAATATAGCCACCAAGAAAGCTTTGATGGTTTATAGTTGCTCATTGAAAGGTTGTAGGATCCAGTATTATTAAAGCAATACTTTTTGCCAAAAATCCCTAAGATCTTTGTTTGGAAGATGTTTTAAATTGACGCAAAATTAAAAGGATAACAACCTCAATTTAAATTGATGATGACTGATATTGACCTAACAATTTAAGGTTTATTTAATGTCACCAACTACAATGATTTAAAATATTTTTGTTAATTGATGAATTATTGAAACAGAAACAAAAACAAAAATCAAATAGGAGAACATGCACATGACACAAGAAACCAAAACACCAGTCCACAAACAAACAAAATATACAACAAATCCAAAGCCAAAATCGCTGCAGATATGAAGCATCAACATCATTCAACACAAATTTGAACATATTGATTTAAGTTCAATTTACAACAATAAATATGAATAGCCCTCAACTTCTTTATTTTATTCCATCCATAAACAGCATAAAAGTACAGACATCAATTTTTATTCTGGAAAAAAAGGGTTAAGCAAATAAAAGCCTTAACACAGAAGAGCCCGAGAGATGCAAGTAACTCGTGCGCTGATGATCCGAGAATGGTACATCACCTTCAGCACGTTTAAGCCTGCAAAAAGCTTGCATATTTGGCGCCAAGAAAAAGCCGTTGGATGCAGAGCAAGGCGTTCTTGGTGACCTCAGCGTTCTCATGGTTCATCAGCTTCATGACCCGTTCTTTTGCTTTCAGGTCGGTGACTATGATCCGGCCAGCAGGATGGTACTGAATAAACTGAGACAGATCAAAGCAAGCTACGGCCAATGCCCTTGGATCACTAGATGTTTCCAATATCGTGAGCAGGACCCGTAAAGTCTACCAAAAATAGCACACATAGTCAGTTTCACAGAATTAAAGTTGCTTATAGGTTCAAATGAGAACCATAAATATTTTGAGAACTTGAGAACCAATTATTCCATGATGAATGTCATGATAGATACTCATCATGAATATTATCCATAATAAAAGGTAATGATATTCATGATGAAAATGCATGATATTAGTGATAGTAATATTCATTAATACTTAGTTATTCATCATGAATAATACATGAAATAGATGGTTCCCATGTTTTCAAAATATTTACTGTTCTCATGAGAACTTGCCCCTATCTCCCATGTTTTCAAAATATGGACTCACCATGTCAAATACGTTTAACAAAATGCCAAAATTTTCAGCTTAACAAACACGGAAATTCTACTTCTACTTGGGAAGAATTGCATATTAGAGGTGAAGATGATCTAAAAAAGGTTTTCACCAAGTGGGTAATGAAAGGAAGACGGGAGTTTTTAGCTCAGAAACTGAGCAAAAAAGATCATATACAGTTTTCGTACAAAATACCCCTACAGAGCCAAAAAGGTTTTTCATGAGATGGGAATGGAAACTATTAGCCCCACACAAACCCCATATATCTCATTCAAAAGTAGTAACTGGAGAATGTACGCAGGCCTGTCCTATACCCCAGAGGATAGAGCGACATTTTTCTGTGAAGACCCTGGCTTGCGGAAAAGTGTAAGCAAAAATGTAAAAAGCTGGATATAGTGAAACATAGAATAAGTTAGGAGAAGCACACATCCCTCTATCTATCGACTCTAGTAACCTGTCTGCTAGCTCTCTAACCCTCTCCCGTCCCGCCCTCAACCTCTCCAACTCCCTTTCTTGCTCTCTAGGATGTATTGAACTTATAAATCAATTAGATAACTTTTATGGATGTCAACTATCATAGCTCATAAGTAAATTTGCTACTGGTTCTAGTCTTTTGTTTTCGTATGTGTTCTCAACATTGCAAAAAAATAACACACATAGACGAATGTAGCCAAAATGCAAAATCAAATGTAGATATTCCATATTCGGTCATCTGTTCCGATAAACGACTAACTAATTAGCCTAAAGTTGCTTCTTTAAGGTCTATAATACCACCTAAGCTGATTTTTTTAATAAAAATATAACTGGAAACAAGACATTTGAAAAAACATATTATACTAGCAATCTGCCACGCTCTGAATCTTTGAAGTATATGAATAAGAGATGAAGAAAATAGTAAGCAATCAATGCAAAAATAAGGGATAATGAGCACCAAATGAGCATATTTTAAAGTACATTTTTCTCACACACAGCAACTATTTCATGCAGGATTCAAGTAAATGCTACTGGAATTTTGTACATCACCACCGATTATTTACAGCTCGCAAAAGAATAAAATTTTGAACTCGGGAAAACAGTTGAAAATTTGAAAGCTGGCAATACTCAAACAATGCGCCCTCAGATCCATATATATATATATAGACATAGAAGAGTACAATTTGACTTCTGTTATCGATTGACTAAATCTCAACTCATAATTTACATCAAATCTACAACTTTATGAGAAAATTTCGATAACCAAATTAGACTCTACAACAAATACTAAGAAAATGGTGCAGATCTGTTAGTAACATAGTTTATATCAATTTTGCCTTTGAAACGTACAGGGTATGAACTCCATAACCAAACTATAGATCCTTTATTTATGAAATTATCATATTCCAGAACAGAATGAGTAATTTTTACGCTTATTGTTAATTGATAAGTTTTTGTTGTTTGTAGGGTAGATGCCAATACATCCATTGTTTGAAAATCATTTCTTGTAGAAAATCTTGCAATTTTTAAACATAAAATAATCGGAAGATAAACAATTGAAATAGAAAGGAACATATTTGAGGTTATTAGCAATACCTGGAAATCATTCTCTTCAAAGTTTGTAATGTTATCTCGCCAGAAAATAGGATCTTTATGCATTGGAGACCAATCCAGATGACCAAGAAGGACTTCTTGCTTGTACTTATCAAAAGAACTCAATTTCTTGATGTTATCTTTCAGCCCCTCTTCCAGATGATTTAAAGTGTCCAACAGATCCTACAAGAAAAAATAGAGGTAATAAAGAAAATGGCCAACAAACTTATTAGAACGTTGAAAATAATGAATAGTCAGTTAAGAGAGATGCAAAGAGTCACTCTTTTAACCTAGAGCCACCAGGTAGAACTTTATTAAAGACCAATACATGGTTTGACAATCAATTCCCAGTTAAGCTCTTAAACGAGTTGATGAGTAATCAATAAATTAATCAACTTCACTTGCCGATACTAGAAAATAGTAAAACCATTACTAGTACTATGAAGAGACCCCAAAAATTGTGGAAAGATAAGATGTGTCAAGAAAATATTAGAATTTGAAAAGTTTTTTAATGCATGCAACTTTTCCATTAGTAATATCAGTTTGGACATAGGTTGTAATTTGAAAAACACATTGAGATTCCCAATGGAGATGCTGCACATATGCAACATAAATGACAATGCGCAGCTCTTGATCTATGTGTTGATTTTGTAGATTTATTATGATGGTGATGGGTTAGAAGGGTAGAAGCTAGACTCCAAAGCTTACCAGATATGAAAGTCTAAAAAATGTGGATATTTGAGGTGAATACACACAATAGATGGGAATCTGAATGAGGTCAAAGGGATGGCATTGATTGAAGAAAATTTAAGACAACATCATTCTAGAAGGTTTGTCTCAGCCATTGTGGGCCTTTACATGCCCATAGAAGGGTAAGGGGACGTTTACCAAACGCTTACCCAGGTAAGCACTTAATAAATCACATTACCTTACCGGATGTATATGGCAAGGACCAAGAATCTTACTCGGTAAGAGCGAAGGCAAGGACCGAGAGTCTTACCAAGTGAGGGCGACGGCTCTTACCATGGGTAGCACTTACTGGATAAATTGTTGCATAAGATACCGTTTTGAGTAGATTAAAATCTTACCTGGTAATTAATTGAATGTTGCCGGTAAGTACTTACCCAAGTAAGCGTTTGATAAACGGCCCCTAACTTGTATTGAAGAGAATGTATGGAATGGTATGGATGATTAGGCCATGTAGTAAAAATGGTAGGAACAAAATTAGTTATGACCCTATAAAGAAGTCACATGGTCTAGCCATCTACATGACTACATCTACTCAGCTACTCCAAAGATAGGATATCAGGTCACAGCTACTCCTATGTAAAAGGAGAAGACGTGATTCACAGACCTAGCTAGTACAAAGATACAGGAATGCTAATTCACACATGCAGTAGATACCACGTTTGAGCTGGGTTACTTTTGTTTGGAAGGGGGGGATGCAATTCCTATAGTCTAGCACATGCAGATGAAAGTCTTAGCATAGATACAATTCAATGTGCAGATTGAAACCCTCCCTCCCCAAAAATGAGAGCAAGGAGTGTTGCATTCTGCATAAATTGGTTAGTGATAATGAGTAAGATAATAGATTGCTAATGGCCTTGTTCATTTATACTAGACAGGTAAATAGTGTTGTCATGGCTAGACGCCACAATTAAATAAAAACTGACAATTGCTACATTCAGATGTTGATAACTATTGCTGCAAAGCACTATGCACTGTCACTTGTAAACCTCTGCTTTAGCACATAATATTTTAAGAGTTGATAAAGATAAATCAACAGCTTAACATGCAAATGAAAATTATAACAAGAAGCACACATTTGTACTTCATCGACAGATACAAAAATAGCTTACACAAGTTACTAGAAGGTTAATCTTTAAATAAATGTACACTTGTATCAGGTCTCCTTGCCTCCACACAGGAAAGCAGAAAAAAGACGGATGCAATTAGTCTCTATAACATGCATTCAGACATTTAGCACAAATATCTCAATCCATCAAATTTCTTCTCAAATTTGGTTGCTTTAGTTCTACTTTTTTCGGCAAGTGCATCAATTCATTCCTGTTAAAGTAAATCCTTACCTCGTCACTCCAGGCCTGTGCTTTCAAACTTTGAACAATTTGTGGAAGTCCAAGATCTACCATCTGAGCTCCGAAGCTTCCTTTGGCAAGCAAGTTCTTGAAAGTCAAGACTATTAACCTCACAACCTAGCAACCATTGATGAAACACCCCTCAAATGTTAGATCATCATGTTGTAGTTTTTTACTTAAATTGGTACATAACAATCTACTAAAGGCACAAAGGAAATTGATACTGCAGTAGCAGGCATCTGATGCATACATTGAGTAGATTGAATAAGAATCGAGAAACAATTAAGCAGGGAAATATGAGATAAAGAAAGCAAAAACAAAGACGAACTGACCACTAAAAGAACCCAGCTTGAATAAATAGTATTTCAAATAAACTGAACATATATGGATAGATAAGGGAAGACCTTCTCTTTCGTTGAACCTTTGACAACCTCCAATAAGCGTGGCAGGGCTCTAGATGTAGCCAAATACTCAATTGCAGGTTCATAGTAGGACAAGAGCCAAACACAGAGGCATGTTTCATAGAGAATCTGTTTAACAACAACTGAAGTTAGTTGTACTCTTATACTCTATAATCAAATTGAGATAGAAACAGAATTATGAGAAAGGAAAGGTAAAACATATTTCTGCCTTGTCTTTGCCCCAGTGGTCAACTACACTACCTACTAACTTTCTAGTCTTACCAAAAGGCCTTTGGCCTAGCAGTATCCGATAACCCAACCTTCTTAGAAGTCAAGGGTTCCAACCTCACCAAAAGTGAGGAGTGTGTGTGTGAGCTTCATTTACCGTATATAAATATTATATACTTAAAAAAACTTTGTAGTCTTATAACCAACTCTTCCTAAACCCATATCTAAATAAACTTCCATCATGCATTGAATAGAAATAAACTTAATTTAAAGTATTTTTACAAGAAGCTGCTAACTTGTGCATGGATGATCTGACCGATTCCACAGAGACATTCAGAAAGGTAAAATTACCTGAATTGACTGCTGAGTGGATGCTGGAGAAATTAGTGGCACAAGCAGCTTTACCCCATCTGCTTGAACAAATGAAGACCTAACAACAGATTCCTTCAACAAGGTTGCAAGACAGTTGACAGAAGCTGGAATGCTACGGCTTGGATGGGAAGGCTTCTTCAGCTGTAAAAGTAATCCAGTCACCCAATAGCTTTTTAGACAAGTCCTATATAGAAAACATATCTTACAACACAAAGAAGACCTTCCATTTCTTGATGGAAGCTTGAACATAAGGGTTCAATCAACTCTGAGATGTGGTGTATGAACAGCATAAAACCAAACTTACAGGCAAGTTAACCAACTCATGCATAAGTTTGTTTAGCATTGTGTACAACTCCTTGGCAATATGGTGTATAAGCATATTTCGATGACAAAAACTCCCACCCCTCCCTTTATCTTAGTAGTAATTTGTATTAATCAATACCGAGTGTATGAGAGAACCGTCATTGAATCAGACTGAATTAAAAAACTAAAGTCATTTATATCTTGTTCGCAACTCACTCCGTATTCTACAAAAAGTCAGAGCTCCACACTCTCTTTCATTTTACTCCTTCACTATCTAATATATGCCATTGTATAACAGATCATCGTTCATTTTTATCAAATCCTGTAACTATAAATCTTTCCAAATATCCAAGCAAACCCCATCTGAAGAAATTCATAAGGAACGTTTAGGTATTAACAATATTCTATAGAATAGGCCTTAACCAACTTGTGAAAGAGAATTGTTGCAGCATGTAGATATGAGATGCAGTAAACCATTAAAGCTCATTCAGCTAGTCATGGACCTGGTGCCTTTAAAAATATATCTGATCAAAGAGACTAAGCCATATACCAAATCACATAAGAAAAATAGAAAGAATTTTAAAGGTCTTGTAACAATGTGTATTCAGTACTGAAAAGCTCTATAGTTCAAGCTCAACATATAACGTAAAAACAACCATATAAGATCAAAATTTTGAATTGTTGAACCTATTCAAATAAAACCATAAATAAGAGCAACGGACTTACCAATTAGTACCAAATTATATCCACTGGCAGATGCTATAACTTAGAAAAGATTTTAAGTGGTAACCATAAGCCACTAATATACCAAATCACATAAGCAAAATAGAAAGAACTTTAAAGGTCTTGTAACAATGTGTATTCAGTACTGAAAATCTCTATAGTTCAAGCTCAATATATGACATAAAAACAACCATATAAGATCAAAATTTTGAATATATAACGTAAAAACAACCATATAAGATCAAAATTTTGAATTGTTGAGCTTATTCAAGTAAAACCATAAATAAGAGCAACGGACTTACCAATTAGTACCAAACTATATCCACTGGCAGATGCTATAACTTAAAAAAAGATTTTAAGTGGTAACTATAAGCCACTAAGGGGCTGTCCAGTAATGGCTTAATGGGCTGTTAAGTCTGTATAGCTTATTCGGTCAGCCATACATTGTTGTTCGCTTCTGGCTTATTCAGTCAGTCAGTGGCTTATTCGGTCAGGCAGGAAAGTAAGAGTACCATGGACTCGGCCATTTATTCATCCCCTTATTCCAAGTTTGCCCCTTCACATTTCTAGAACCCCCCCAAAAATCCCAGCTTCTCTCGATCTTATTTCTCTCCTTCATCGTGCTTGCTCTCCTGGTCCAAGCTCTATCTCCATCGATCTGCCGTTGCTTCTTCCTCACCATCTAGAACCATTGTCGGCTGCTGCTTCTTCCTCATCATCGCCGGTCGTTGCTTCTTCCTCCATCGATCTCAGTTCTCCTGCTTCTTCGGTCTCCGGCGTTTGCATCTTCCTCATCTCTGCCTCACCATCATCAGCTGTTGCTTCTCCAGCAGTTACCCTCTGCCTCACCATCGCTGGATCTCGTTCTCGATCTGTATCTTGTTACTGATTTATTATTTATAGATTTGGGTATGTTTTCTAAGTTGGGGTTTCATTTAGTGATTCGTTTACAGTTTTATGATTTGATCTATAAATATTGTTGTTTTGAGAAATTTGATCTATAACGTTCAATGTAAAACCAAGGGTAAAATAGTCATTTTTATCATTCAGATGGATAATTCAACACAACAACCGAACAACAACTTATCTATTAACATACAAACAACTTTATCCATACAGGTCTTAGCAGAAAACGAACCGAACAGCAACTAAAAAGCATTAGGGATTCATATAATCGTACAAGTTAAAAAATATTTTTAATCAAAGAAGACATTTGTTTTACCAACCTTTTCCCTAATCATTTGCACGTCACTATTACCTGCAGAATTTTACATGAAAGAACACCTTGAACTTCCTTTGCATTTAAATAAGTATGGCAAAACTACTTACTAGACCAACATCAGTGTGGAACATGTTAAGTTGACAAAACTATTCTCATGTGCTTATTTCATGCACTACTGCTTGATTTTAGAGTCACGATATAAAAAAGTTATTAATATAAATATCAAATGGACCAGAGAAAGTAGGAGCACAGGCTGCACAGCCATATCCAAATGAAAAGGTAACCACATTATACTTGCAGGAGACATCGTAAGATTTCACTTGCAAATCATCAAACAGCGCAGAGTTCATAACAAACCTGAATACAAAGCCACTCCACCAATCCTTTCAAAACATCATCACTTGTGGTTATTTTCTTCTTTGAATCCGTGGCTCCATTTGTCCGACCATTCTGCTTTGGCCTAGCACTATAATTACGGTAAAAAAAATTAATAAAATTTAGAACAAGTATAGTTCAATGCCTTCTGTATTGTGTGCATTTGCTTTAGGTACCTCACTATCAAAGTAAGTATCTTAGAGCTCTTTTCTTGTATGAACCAGCTACCTTTCCATAGCAATCTGATGTGCAAAAGAATTTGAATTTCTTCAGCTTTTGGTGAATAAAATAAGCACAAGTGGCAACATATCCAAAAATCAAACTTGCATTTATTATCATTAGAGCATATCAGTATCAATAAACTCAAAGTAGTGCCACAAAGATATATACATCAAAGAAACCATCATGGATCTGTTTCAAATAAAATGATGACCTATTCACAATCGTAAACATGAAGAAAAAAGAACACGTAGCAGCATTTTAGGAGCAATAATATCGCAGACAATAGTAGCTGGCTAGCTGCTCTATGCTTTTTATCATTGAAGATTCCATTTTTGACTTGATGAGATTTTCTTTTTAAATAGAAAGATAATGAATTTATATCAACTGACATCACCATTGCAACCGCCAAATGGTTGGCTTAGTGGCAATCACTGGGTCACCTATTGCCTCATAAAGTGCTCTCAAGTTCAAAACAGTAATATTGAAAGAACAACCTCAGGAAAGGTTCGTAAATGTCATCATCTGCAAGAGACTTATCATGAAACAGCAGCGCTCTTTTGGGATTTGCTGCAAAAAGGAATACTCAGTAAGTCAAGTGATCACAATGTCAACTTAAGTCATGACTGAGAAAGAATGAAATGGCACCCCATAGAAATCGAAGAAAGCAAAGGTAATTAATTTATCTAGTCACCTGTAAGCATCTCATCAATTAAAGCCAACACATATTCAACCGTTTCCTCTTTTTGTATGTCACGCAAGATGCTAATAAAAACATGAATATAAGATGGACCATCCTGTGACAAAAACAAATCTTGTCAGTGCTACCCTAAATGTCATCATGTATCATAATCCAACTTTGGTAACAAAAAATAAAAATTCATTCAAATAATCATTAAAGATGAAGATTCTAGATGTCAAAAAGAAACTATAGAGAAAATAAGAGTCCAGATCTGAAGGATATAAGGTGCAAGGAATTGGTGAAAGGCATAATTAAGCAAACTTATGAAAACAAGTGATAGAAGTGGGGGTTCATAAGTATTAAATACATTGATAAGTGATAACACGTAGTATAAGTTAATCATTATTTCATCTTTAGATCAGCATAATGGCAACATGATAAGAACAAAACTACAGTGGTAATCAGCAAAGATTACCACTGTAGTTTAAGGCAAGAGAACCATGCTGAACTACAAAGGTTTTAGCTTAAGCCAGACTAAAGCAGAGTACATGAATTGTATACAAGCGTTCATCGCTGGATGTAGTATGCAAAGTTGAGGAGATGCAAAGTTTGAGGCATGAAGAACCACATTAGAGTATAAGAGTTTTAGCTTAAGCTAGACTAAAACAGAGTACTTGAATTGCATCTACAACAACATCGGTTGAAAAGTGGTAGATGTGTAAGCATGTGCAATGAAGAAGGATGTCTTTTAGTATTTAGGTCAGTACTCAGTATAACAATTGGCATGACGAGAAGATTGATGAGGATGGAGATAAACAAGAGTAGTGTGAATAAAATGACTTCAGCATCAAGAGGCTTAAATGATCAGAAGTCCTATTAAATCTAAAGTATGTTCCAAAGGGTCATAGTGTGACCTACTAGATTAGCAAACAAAAAGTTTGATCACTGAAAGACAACATTTACACAAGACAAGTATAACAATAAACAAATGTTAAGATAGAAGTGTGGCCGCACATTGAGGTAGACTTAGGAAAGGAAATATACAAGAGAAGGTTAGGGCATAGATACAGGAAGAATAGAGGCAATATTGCCTATGTGCTTTGGTTATTTCTAACATCAAACTTTGAATGCACCACTTACAAAATACGACTTATACTAGGAGGGAGGACAAACAAATGAGAAGTAGCAGATCACATGACAATAAGATTGCACCCTCCTCTGCTCTTGCCCTTGCTTTCCAAGAATGAGCAATAGGAAGTCATTTACGTTTTGACCTTTGGGTAAATCATCTATGCTTCCCATTGTATTTTGCAAAAGGAAAACATTTAGATGATTTGTCATTTAGGTAGGGTATTGACCACATGTTAATTTGGCTTGCTGTGCCAGGCCTTGTCCTTTTATTAATTGTCTTGGATTTGGACCTACATGTACAAACTATGAAAAGGAAAAAAAATAATTAACCGGCATCCATTTATAACTCGCTTAATCATAGCTAATAATGCAGAATATTTGCTACCCCACGCAGAAAGAAGACACCATTTTGGCAACTCCAAAGATAGTGTGCTAAAGTGGCCACTTAGACCACTTCTAGAACAATGAATCTAGAGGTCAGCCAAGAGTGACATCAGCAAAAATAGTAAAGCGACATTTCAATTAGTGGCAAATGGCAAAGGAGTGCATACAATGATGTTATTCATGTTACTGTTCCCTGTGGACACACCCCTTTGTAACTGTATTGGGATTCATTATTAGCCTACCATGACTAATTTGAGATGAATGGCTTGTTGAGGTTGAGAACTTGAGATGTACTATTTTCTCAACACATGTCTATGCAAATAGTAATAGAGGACTCTAACAAGTATCATACCATTTTTCTGCTTATTATATTAAGAACAAGCATAAAAGATATAGGCTTACATTATCAAGCAGTGGTGCCCTGTCATTTTCGCTCTTTTTGTCATAGCGCCTTAATAGCTGAAGGGATGTTCCTGTGATCAGCTTAGTCGTCATGTATGTCTCCCATGCAATATCCCTCCTCAAAACCTAAGCATAGAACATAATTATATGCAATCAGTGATATAGATACTTCTACTTGTAATTGGAAAATAACAGCAACACAAAATCTATTGCCACCAAAAATATAGTTGTTAGCAAGTCCAGTTGATGGTGTAACAGTTGTGTTACCCCCTATGGTTTCACTTGATTGTAAAATTCCTAGCCTACATCACTTAATTCTAGCTCAACTAGCAATAGCCCAAATTCGAACAGAATTTCCTCCCTGATTGAGGTTGAGAGTTCTTGAGAAATGTATCTTGTAAACCCAACGAAACTAAACTTTCTTTACTCCTGTTTATTTTCCAGTCCTTCCTGCCCTAGTTCATGAACCATAGGCCTATTAGGTGTGAGTCAATTAGTAAATGTTGGCCTATGTCCCCACTGTTTCGTACTCTGAAACTTGAATATATATCAATTTATAACCAATCAATCCAAGGCACTTTTCCCTCTCTTTTGAATGATCTTTATTTTCCAAATTTTCACATAGTTGTTACCAGCACCTGGACACGTAACTGTAGAAAACTTCCAAGTTTTGCAAGCTCATAGCCCAGAAGATACTAGAATCATAAAAATGCAGAAAGAGTATGGGGCTGATAAGATTAATTCTCCTAAATCCTGGAAGATTTCAATGGAGCTTCAAGTATGAATTCTACATGGATTACCCGATTAGAGGTCCATGTTCGGTTACATAAAGGCTTCAACATATTCCATTCCACTTAGTTATTTGACATACATAAGGTCGAAGGAACTTCGACTTTACAATTCTATGTCAGATTAATCAACACGCGGTCCTTAATTACCATATGAATATACCTAGAAGCAAAGTAGGTCGTTTGCGTCAAAGATTACCGTCAATTGACTACAAACATTACAAAACTTCACTCCATCAAGGTTCATACGTCGACTTAAAAATCAGACTACAAAATCACGATCTGATAAGCCTATCACCGTTCCACATGAGTCATATGCAACTATTGATCTCTCATATTAGATTCAAAATTCAGTAAAGATCTGAACCACTACGCAACTGCGAATAAAAATCGATGATTACTAGGGTCTTCGAACCTAAGATTCCGACCAATTTTGAGAGGATTAGAACAATGTCATATATCTGGATGGAGTGAGTATAGAATCGTGATTACCTGTTCGGAATTGAGCTCGGCTTGGTCCGTCGGCATTGACGCTTCAAGTAGTGTCTTCCAAATCTAGAGTGTATGGTGAGTTTGAGATCGGGGATTGATTTGGGGCTTTGGGGTAATCTGTCGCTTGTTGGTTCAGAAAAACAATTGACAGTTATCTCTTCTAATCAAATCTCCTCCCTTCCATATAACTAGGTTTTTCACTTTATATGTACCAAAATGTTATACGACAACAGACGGACCCTGGTAATTGTAACCCAGAAAAAAAAATACTTTTTAAATGATAAATGTTTATAAGATTTACAATATTTATTAATAATTCTTTTTGATCGTTGAAAATATTAGATGTTAAAGTAAGATGGTATCTGTTTTTTAAAAAAATCTTTTATTTTATCACTTATGTCCGATTCGGTCAGACATAAACCAATTCAGACTATTTGTTTTTTTGTTTTTTCAGAGTCACTTATCCCTTATTTTCCTCTTAAAAATTAAGTGATAACATAACCACTTATTTTCCTCTTAATCCTGAAGACTATCCAGAGAACCGATTTTTACTTCATCATTCGATCGACTTCACTCTCTCGATCGATCAACTTCACCCTCCATCGCCTCTGGTGGCTTCAAATCGACCCAAATCAAAAGGGTTTTCTTCCATATGGGTTTTTCGCCACTGTGTGTTTTCGTCCCTGTACAAACCAGTAGTTGTGCACCTTTGTCCTCGTGAATAAAGGTATTTCCGTCACTGTAGTTTTCATCATGATGAGATTTGCTTCGATTTTAGAGATGGATTTGGGTGTTGGATTTTAGAGGAGTTGTGGTGGATGGTGGTTGATGGTGGTGGGATAAGGGTGGAGATTGAGGATGGAAGGTTTGATCTGGAGGAGAAGGAATAATCAAATGGAATATTGAGAACATAAACAGAAGTGAAATCAGATATACATATTCATATGTTTGTTGGTTACAAAAGCAACCTATTGATTCAGATTTCAGACTTCAGACGTTTATGAGTTTACAAAAACAAACAGTCTGACTGATTCAGATTTCAGACTTCAGCACCACCTCTTAAAAATCAGAAGTGAAATCAAACTTCAGATTTCAGCACCTTTTAAAAAACAAACGCCACCTAAGTAAAGATAATTTTTCAACGAGATTGTGATTAAAATTTGTAGGCAAATATTTTTTTGGCAAAAAGTCTTAACTTGATGCATTAAAATAGGACTAGAAGGGTACTCATGTAATGCAGCAAGATACATCTTCATTTTAATGTTTCGTTTTATTTTTTGTCTTTGTTGATATAGTAGGTTTATGTGGTTTTGATAAAGATGATGTTTTTACTTTCGAATAAAAATATATTTAAAGATACCATAAAAATTGGAAAATATAAATCGATATTAATATCAAATTAACTATTTAAAAGTTGTCGTTTTTTATACAATTTTTTTAATTCAATTTTTTATTATAATTTAATTAAGGTCTAAATAGCGAGATAAATTGCTTTTGGCTTAACAATATAATTTTTATAAAGATCATGATTATGTTAAAACTCAATGATTATTTTATTTATATTTTTATTTTTTTATATATAAAATAAGATATTTGATATGTATTTAATTATGTTTATCTGCAGTTAGTTATACGAATTCAAAATTGAGCTTTAATAAGTTGTACTTACGCATAATTTATTTGTATTCTTAAATTTTAAGTAATATGCATTAATAAACCGTACTTCATGCACAAAAATGGTTTTTAAGTGTTTTTTCAAATGTTTTATAATATAGTATAAATATATTGAGTTACTATATTAAATTCATCTCTTAATATTAAGTTAAAATCAAATAACCACTTGGTTTATGACACACTCATAAGACTCAAATGGTGGAGTGGAATCCTCATCTTCCTCGGGTTCAAATCTTGGTAGAGTTGTCCTTAACTCTCTGGAAAAGGTGGGCTGAGCGCACAACCAAGACCCATAGAAAGTGGGACCCAATTTTTTTAGTATATAGAGTAGTTAAAAAGTAGTAAATAAAAAATATCTTACTTTTTTAGTATCCAACTAGAAGGGATACTCACGTAATGCAGCGAGATATATTTTGATTTAATATTTCATTTTATTATTTATTTAAGTCGATGTTATAGTATGGTCTTATGTGATTTTAAAAAGACGATGCTGTTTTTATTTTTGAATAAAATATAAATTTGAATATATCATAAAAATTTGATAAAAATATATCAATATTAGTGTCAAATTAACTATTTAGTATTCATATTTTTTGTATAATTTTTTAATTCAATTTTTTATTATAATTTAATTTAGGTTCAGTAACGAAGTAATTTATATTTGCGTATTTGGTTTAATAATATAATTTTCTTATAAAAATAATAATTAATTATTTTGTTAGAACTCGATAATTATCCTAATTATATTTTAAAATTAGATGTTTATTCTCTATTTGATTATGTTTATCCGCAGTTAATTACACGAATTTAAACATGAAGCTTTAATAAGTTATACGTATGCATAATTTACTTGTAATCTTGAATTTTAAGTAATATTCATCAATATACAGTAATTCATGCATAAAAATGATTTTTAAGAGTTTTTGTCAAATGCTTTATAATATAGTATAGATAAGACTAAAAGAAGAATTTAGCATTATATTAAGGGTTATACATATATTGATTAATTAAATTGGATAAGAAAAATATGTAAAAACTTAATTAGTCGTTTATTTTATAGTATTATTTATTGGTTCTATGAGTTTTTATCTAGTATCAAAGTTTAAAACTACTTGTATGTAAAGACATTGATATATATTCCCTATCATTCATCTACCAATAACTATTTCAATTATTTCATTTGTATGAATTATATTTTTATATTAAAAAAAAAAACTACTGACCATAATGAGACCATCCAACTTATATCTATATTTATTTTCTCATACATTGTAAACTATTTATTACCTACTAGAAGGGTACATGTGCAATGCAGCGATATACGTATTGATTTTAATGTTTTGTTTTTATACTCTGGTTCTATCGATGTTCTAATGCGATTTTATGTGGTTTTAAGAAAACGAAAATGTTTTTGTTTTTTTAATAAAATATAAATTTAAAGATATTATAAAAAAAATTAAAAAATAAACGTTATTAGTATCAAATTAACTATTTAAAAGTTCTCGTTTTTTTGTGTAATTTATTTAATTCAATTTCTAATCATAATTTAACTAGAGTTTAAGAACGAAATAACTTATTTGTTGTTTAATAAAATAATTTTTTAAGATAATAATTAAGTAATCTGTTATAACTCAATAATTATCTTAATTATATTTTAGATTTTATATATTTAAAATGACGTTTATCATGTATTTGATTATGTTTATCTGCAGTTAGTTACACGAATTCAAACATGAAACTTTAATAAGATGTACTCATTCACATTCTACTTGCAATCTTGAATTTTAAGTAATATGTATCAATAAACAATATTTTATACATAAAATTTTGTTTTTAAGGGTTTTAGCCAAATGCTTTAATAAGTATTCTCCTATTTCTAAAACAAAAAATAAAATCTTAAGTTATAACCAACATGGACTATTCATTCTCAGGATGATTTTTTCAAAAAAGATTTTTTACATCTCACTCAGGGTTTATAAAATGTCAAAAACGAGCTTGAATACAGGCACTGCCAAAACTCTTGTAGCCATTAGAGGATTACATGCGATGACTCTAAACTATTCGTGATCATCCGAAAATTAGTCGGTACGTATAAGCTGGCTCGAAAACCTACGATTACCAAAAGAAGTTAAAATCAAATACTTTAATATAACTAAATCAATTAAACTAACCATCCGTTAGTACTAAGTTAAAGTCAAATACCCCTTTAAAATTTTGTAAGCATTTTAATATATTTGGACCGTTCATTACAATAAAATTAAATCAGTTGCTCAAATTACATATACGTAATACATATTTAACTAAAAATTTTATGGGTAGATAAATGATTTTTATACAAATTTGTGTTTGATAATTGCTAAAAGCATTTCCAACCGCTTATACACAATTTATCCAAAATGCAGAAGAAGAAAAATAAAAGATTTAAAAATATCAAAATTTAAATTAAAAAAATCACATGCAACTCCAAGAAATTGTATATTCCGAATATTTCAACATTATTGTTGAAATATTCGGTAATATAGCAAAACTCTTCTTTCATTTATTCCATTGATCGGTTATGTTGATGGGACTAACCTGTGTCCCCCACGAACCCAAATGGTGGGACCCAACGTGATCAATCCACAACACATTGGTTCATGCAAGAATACATACTTGTTGAGTCAAATATGCGACTTGAAGAAAATTTGAAATCCCTTTTTTAATATATTTTTTAAGAATATTTGGAATCTATACTGATATTTGTTTATTTTGTGACACATCTTGATGACTATGTATTGTGCAAGATTTTTAGAAAAGAGTACGATCGTCCAAATCAAATTGTGCTTACTAATCATCATAAATAATCTAATAATCTCACAACAAACATGCCATTGATCATTGGTTCTGCTATGCTTCATAATCAAAACCCAAATCCTGAAAAGTCTGTTATGCAATACACTAATACCACCCTTCAATGAACTTCAACCCATCAGCTACTCCGAATTATGTTAATCAGCAACCACAACCACTACTAGTGATACCAGCACCACCACCGGTCAATCAGTAACAACATCCATAAATCTGTTGAGTTACTATAATCATCTAGTATGGGGTTACAAACTTCATACAATCCAAGTAGTTACGGTTACCTATTCCCACCATTTGTTTCATCACCATACCATACACTTCCTCAGGCACAACCAAACTATAGACCCCTGCCATCCTCAATGAACTTCTACCGATCAGCTAGTCCGAGTTATGTTAATTAGCCACTATCGGCACCAACCCCAACACCTTTACCCCCACCCTAGCGAACTTATACCCATTGGTTAATCCGAGTTATGTTAATCAGTCACCACAACTACTATAGGTGGCACTAGCACTACCACACACCATCTCATAATCATCTAATACAGGTGGCACCATCATCACCGCCTCACAGTTACAGTTGCGGTTTATCTGAATTTGATAACACTTATGGTTGAATAGTTTGGTTTTGTTAATTCACTTAATTACTTGTTTGCTTGTCGTATATGGTGTATTTTGAGTAAAAAAAAAAGCTTTTTGATATATTATTTTCTTATGCATCATCTATATTAACCTTTACATTCATATACAAACATTTTAGGAAAAGTAAACTAGAAAGTGAAACACAAACCATCCATTTTAAAACCCCCATAAGTTGGGGAGTAGATATCATGGATTTATATTTTGTATCTATCATATACATGAAGAAGGGGTCTAGAGAGGTATAGGATGGGGTTAGGGTTAGCGAGTCGGTCAGTCAGCAGTCAGACCTTCTGAATCGTAAGTTATGCTTCGGATAAGGAGATATTACCTAACCCGTCTAACCCGATATAAGAGTTGGATGTCGGACCTCGGATTAGTTCGGGCATATGGATCGGGTATGTTTGGTTTTCCTCGGTCGGTTTTTTCGGATAGTTCGGGTCGGTTTTTTCGGAAAGTTCGGGTAGGATCGGGTTTTGCACGGCCCTACTATTTATAAGATACTAAAAATCTGATAATTCCCTCAATTTTTACCATTTTCTTTAACCAGAAGGCTATCATCATTCAACTGCTTGAGGATAAAACCCTCAAAACCCTCGTTGATGAACAAAAAAAGCTACGTTTTCAGTGTAAAATAGAGACTGCCAATTCGCATTCGAGTTTGTGGAATTTGACAGAATGGCGAATACTGCTGATGTTGATGCGCTAGACTTTGAGCCCGATGACGATGATCTCATGGATGAAGACGCCGCCGTCGACGTCGATGCTTCTTCTCCAAGCGCTGCTGCTCCTATCCCTAAACTTAAATCCGCTATCACTGCTGGATCTGCCGCCGCCCTCGCTTCTTCCGTTCCAAAGAAAATTAAAGGCCGTGGTTTTCGCGAAGAAACAGACGCCGGCCGTAGTAATCGTTTGTCTGGTCGTTTCGATTCCCTTGATTCCGATGGCGGCCCTGGTCCTGAACGATGTTAGTTATATATCTACTCTCTTTGTATAATATGCTAACTGGTTTAATCATTCCATTTGAAGTTTGTGATTTTGTGTAGCCTTTGTTTAGGTTTATTTGTGCTTAAATTTTCAATTCCAACTTGAAGTTGTAGGTTTTTAGCGGCCAGATTTGATACTTTTATTCCGACAATTAGGAAACGTCGTTCCTTCGCATGTAATATTTGGGTCTCATGGTGATGTATAAAATATCTCAAGTCTGGTGTTAGTTTTTTAATAATGATAGAGGATTAGGGGAAAGTGGTATATGGCACTCATGCTTTAAAGTTTAAGTACTGGTTGAATTGATTGGAAAAATCTGAGATATAACGGTTTTCTAGGATTTTTAAAGGATAGTGAAGAACCCTATGATAAATCTTTCCTACATACATGTAGTTAACCCTTTCTATAGACAAGGGATGAAGTCTTTGGCTCAACATGATGACCCTTCTTATCAACGCTTTGATCTTGATTTCACACAAGAGACCTAGAATATGTAAAAGCTGGTAGGAATTTTTTAAACAGAGGAGCCATGTGAAGTCCCACTGATTGATGCTTTTCACCAAGCCATGAAGTGCTTCCAGTAAGAAGGTAGAGGTAAATAAGGTACCTGTACCAATTAATATTGGAAGGATATCAAGAAAACTCATTAGTGTACTTGTTCTAATTGAAATTGAAACCAGATTACAAAAACAGAAGGAAAAGGTATGTGTTTCCAGTAGTCTATTGACTTATAAAAGAGAAATGGAGGAAAACCGAAATTAGTTCACTGTTCTCTATCTCTACCAAACAAACCTCGCCACACCTATCATGTAAATCCATATTTCTTTATACAACGTCTTCTTGTGCATAAAATATCACACTACAAAAGGATAGGATTGAAGATGGAGATGAATGTGAGACAACTAGTTGGAGATTAGAATCTCAACTTCCACTTGTGTTACTTCCCATGGCCTATAAGAGAGTGAAAGTATGTGAATGAGAGACAAAACATAACGGTGAAAGATTGATAAAGCATGTGGATAAAGAATATATAAAAACTTTCCATCATCGTCATAGCTTCTCTAGAGATGTAGTCTTCAGGTAGAATGATCTAGGCGCACCGAAACAAGAAGGGGAACATACGTGATCTGTTGTGGAGTAATGGAGGTGATTGCATGGGATGAAGAAGAAGTGGTGGCAGGTTGGGTTGCCATTGGATTCGAAAGCTCTGATACCAAGTAGAGAATAGAGTTTTTGTATTTCTTTGAAATTGCAATTTATAAGCAACAACAGTACATATATTCATACAGAGTTTGAAAATCAAAAATCCTGAATACGTGGAGAGTTAGCTCAACATTTAGTTGGAGATTGAGTGCACATGGTTGTTGGATAATTCCTGAAGACTTGGTCTAACAGAATCATCCAAAAGCAACAATGAAGCACACTAGTACTTTTTCACGAATCGAAAATACAATGGTGGGAAACCTGACAGCAGAGCTGGACAAGGTTATTGGAAAAGTCTATGAATGGATAAACAAATCACCGACGATGATGGAGTTAAAATTGGTGTCAAAAGGTTACGTGTTTATCTTCAAGGGAATTCACAAATGGTGCTAGGACGAACTGGTTCATGCAGGAATACATTGTTGCTGGTGATAGTCAAAGACGTGACTCGAAGAAAGTTTGAAATCCCTTTTTTGGTTTATTCTTTAAGAATCTTTGGAATCCATATTAATATTTGTTTATTTTGTGGCACAACTTGATGACTATGTATTGTGCAAGATTTTTAGAAAAGAGAACGGTCGTTCAAATCAAGTTGTACTTACTGATCATCATAAATAATCTAATAATCCTACAACTACTGTGTAGTCGATCCATGGGTTTGCTATGCTTCCTAATCAAGAACCAAATCCTGAACAGTCTGTTATGCAATACCATCTTCTATGAATTTCAACCCATCAGCTACTCTGAGTGATGTTAATCAACCACAACCATTGCAGGCACGAGCACGACCACCAGACAATGGGTAACCATAACTACTTGGATTGTATGGAGTTTGTAATCCCATACTCGGATAATTATAGTAACTCAATGGATTTATGTGATATGGTTCTTGATTGTCCGGTGGTGGTGGTGGTGGTGTTGGTGCCACTTATAGTGGTTGTGGTTGCTGATTAACATAACTCAGAGTAGCTGATGGGTTGAAGTTCATCAAAGGGTGGTATTGCATAATAGACTGTTTGGGCTTTGGTTCTTGATTAGGAATCATAGCAGAACCATGGATCAAATGGACACTGGTTGTGGGATTATTAGATTATTTATGATGATCAGTAAGCACAACTTGATTTGAACGGCCATTCTCTTTTCTAAAAATCTTGCACAATACATAGTCATCAAGCTGTGTCACGAGTGTCACAAAATAAACAAATATTAATATGTATTCCAAAGATTCTTAAGAAAGGGATTTCAAGCCTTCTTCCAGTTACGTGTTTCACTATCATCAACAAGTATGTATTCTTGCATGAACCGGTTCGTCCTAATACTACTTCGTGAATTCCCTTTAAGATAAAGACATAACTATTTGACACCGATTTTAACCCCATCATCATTGGTGATATGTTTATCCACTTCTATGCTTTTCCAATAACCCTGTCCGGATTTTCTGTCAAATTTCTCACTATTGTATTTTCGTGTGCTTCATTTGTTGCCTTTGGATGGTTTTGTTAGACCAAGTCTTCAGGAATTATCCAACAACCATGTGCAATCAATCTCCAACTAAATCTTTTGATTTTCAAACTCTGAATAAATATATGTATTGTTGTTGCTTGTAAATTGTAATTCAATAAAATACAAAAACTCTATTTTCTACTTGGTATAAGAGCTCTCAAATCCAATGGCAACCCAACCTGCTACCACTTCTTCTTCATCCCAGGCGACCTTCACAACAGATCACGTCTGTTCACCATCATATTTCTTGTAGTTTGATTTCTATCCGGTCTTCAATAATAAAGAAAATTTTGGTCAACAAGGTGTATGTGAAGTTGCACTACGAATGTTAAATTTTAGGGGGTCTATGGTAGTGTTTGGAAGTGCTTTTTTTTGGGGCAGTGGTCGATGTAACTCATGTTTTTCTTTTTCTTGTCTGTTGGTTGATGGAAAGGTTACTACTATGAAGTGCATTATAGATGGTGAGAAGGAAATAAACTAGGCTTGGCCTAAGAAGTTCCCATTTTTTTTTAATTGGACATCTAGCCACACAGAGTTGTGGTATACGGGCGCCTAAAGTATATATACTACAATGATTGTGTAACGATTTGTAACCTCACTAGTCTAAAAGGCCCTGACAAGGTCATGGTTGAATTTATGGGCTATAATATTAATATGAACTTTTTCTTGGCCATTACTTTGTTGTGGGTCCAAGTATAGGTAGTCCACATCTTCACAAGAGTGTCCATTTTACTGCAGAAACATGTGCAAGGAGGGAAAGGTACTGCCAATTATCAACATGGCATTTCTCAAGTGGAAATTGAGATCACTAAAGCGTTATCATTTGCATTTTGCAACACTCTTGTTTTTCATATATACTTTGTTTGAGTTGTTCCATAAGGCAGGTGGACTGTATAGACCATTTTCCAAAAGTTGCAGTGACGATACACAATGTGACAAGGCTATAAAATGAAAATGATGTAAATGGGTATAGCCTAATACAAAATGTAACCAGACTACAAAATGAAAATGATGTAAATGGATAGATTCATAGACCCTACGTTTGTTTCTATATTGTAGTCTTTGACCTTTGGAGACCTTAGATTGGGATAACACTATTGGAAAACAAATGGTATGCATCTCTGGCATTGGTTTTGGTGACAAGAAGAAAAATAAAATAAAATGAATGTATATAGTTAAATGGATATCTGGTAATACATTGATTACTCATTTATTCATTTTCCAAAAAGTGGGATTTTATTTATTTTGGAACTTTACACCACCTTCCACATATAGTATTTGTTATGGAGTTGTAATGTAGTTACATTTTTTTTCCGACAAAGAGTAGAACCAAAATAAAATTGAAGGCAAAAAGAAGTCTATTTGATCTCAAGGGTCCATGTATACCTCTTTATATAATAATGGAGGTTGAATATCGTTATTATTACATGATTCTTATTATATGCCAGATATGCTTGAAAACTACATAAGCTTTCAGATAAATAAGTACAAGACTTTCCATGATGTGGTATTAGAAAGATAAAACTGTTTTAATTGATAATTTATGAAAATTAATTTCAAAGTGTACCTTGTGCATATCTCTTTGGTACTTACAAACATGTCTTCTAATCAATATCAAATTTGGTGCACACTGTCAAGTAGTTTCTTGACGAGCTCTTAAAATAGTTATGTATTCTAGATGGCATCTTATAAACACTTTTTGAGCCTGTATTTATGTACTTGTAAAGTCAAAGAGTAGTAGCTATACTGAACCCAAAACAATGTGGAACTTTGTAGCAATTGAGGGGTGGATTATTCTAGTTACTGGAGTGCATGAAGAAGCACAAGAAGATGACCTACAAAATGCGTTTGGAGAATTCGGGGAGATCAAGAACTTGCATTTAAATCTTGATCGTCGAACTGGATTTGTGAAGGTGAAAATAAGTTTATCTTTCCTTTATTACATATTGTTGGAGGTCTGGAAATCAGGTTGTGATGCCATTTACTTAGGTAATATGTTATCATGCAGTTGGATTCATTCTTTATCAGGCACTTTTGTAACTTTGTAAAACAGGTTGAGATGTCATTGCACTTCTGTAATGTGTTATATGCAGAAGGATCAGTTGTTATCTTGAAGTGCTAAGCACTTTTCTACACTTTTACTGATAGATGTCCAACATGAACATAACTTGCTAAGCTAATGTCTGGACCTTCGAAGCATACATGATTGCTTGTTTATTGCACATTGAGAGGTGTTGAAGAGATTTATACAATTTCAGAAAATATGCCTGGATAGCTAGGATTCAAACTTTCACCCAACTGATGACCTAGATTATACATGCAAAGGATTGTCGGGAAAATTTATCGATTACATGAAAGCTTGGACCAATTAGTGAAGCCTCAAAATCCAGATAGAAAACAGAGAAGTTTGAAAAAGTATAGTTTATAAAAAAATTCTACATTCTTATTCAGGTGCTGTGTAAGCGAGATACTGAATATCTCTAAGATGCTCTACCATCGAAGATCTTACTAATATTTTAAAACTTCACACTTCCTGGTAGTTAAAGAAGTTTTCCCTTTTTTTGCTTTGTCTATACTTATTGGGTGTCACTTGGGTTCTTAAATGAAACATTAATCTTGTTTAAAATGTAATTGGGGTAGTGCTTATTGTATTTTCAATTCTAGATGTATGTAATGTGGAAAGGTAAGCTTATCATTTTTGTTGCTTCGGCTTGCTGATTGCTATCCAGATTGGACCCTTGGAAAATTTTAACTTGCTGTCTGGATTGGACACTTGAATTGATTAATTGTAATGCTAACGCAAGTGGACTTTCTCTGTTTTACTATTATGGTCTGTTATTGCCTACTAATGTTATTTGCACGGGTACTTTCATATTATTATGATTTGAACCCTTTGCATGATTGGTTGCTTTTGTTCAAGGTAATTGGTGTTCCCCATGTCTCATGATTAAGATGGATGTATCCGTTTTATGTTATGCTAGATGTATGGCATAATTTAATGTGTTTTTTCCAGGGTTATGCACTCATCGAATATGAAAATTTTGAGGAAGCAGAGAAAGCTATAACTTCAATGGATGGAGGTGAACTTCTCACTCAAGCCGTCAACGTTGATTGGGCATTCAGCAGAGGTCCTTTTAAAAGGAAAAATAACAGGAGGAGGTATGCCTCTCATACTCGTCGCATACTGAATCATCAAGTTCATGTTTTTAACATTATATGTATGCTAAAGTGTGAGTTTGTTAGAAGGATGCAAATGTGTTAATAGAAGATATCTAAGAGTATTCTTTTCTTTTATTTTTAAGCGTGTTTTTGTTGGCGGAGTTATTAGAAGACAGCCTTTGTTCAGAAACTGTTTCCTAAAAGATACTGGGGTGTTTTAAGAGAAAAGGGCTCTTTGTTTTAGCATATCATGGGATACATCTTCATGTGACTGCATGTGATTCACTTTCATCCTTGAATTATTACTGTTACTAATATTGTAGTATGGAAATGACAAATTTTGGTGTCTAGAACCATATGCCATGGCTCATTTTCTGGTTGGCGTGATGCCGGCACCACACATTCAATGACTGCTATAACATATACTGACATTTACAGAAATCACAAACTTGCACATGTGTGTATGTATTTCAACATTTTCTTTACACCCAGTTTCTTTGTTCTCTCTTTTACCTGCAACTGGGCTAGTATGCCCTTTATAGAAAACACAAACGTAAAGGGATAGATTATTTGGAGTATTTGAATATCCAGCTTCTTTTCTAGCGATTTGAATGTCTTGTTAATGTGTTGTTTATGATGAACTTGATTTCCTTATTACATTTGTGCCTAGATCACCACGTGGGCATCGCTCAAGAAGTCCTCAGAGGAGATTTTGATTTGGTATGCTTCTGAAGCAACAGGGTGCGGATTCGTTATGATTAACTTGATCGATGCTTGTAATGTGTACTAGTAACTGCTTATGCAGCATGACTTTTTTTTCCTTCACATTTTCTTTGTTTCCTTGCTTTTTATCCTTGAAATCTACTTCTCAAGGATGGCTCTTCTTGTAGAAGTTGGTAGTTCTGTAATTGAAGCCCTTTGGATCATGCTCTAACTACTAAGACATGCTATTGTTTTCAGCTTTGCAGCCTGTCATCTATAATTTTGCTTTATTTCTTTTGGCAAGACAAGATCATGGGAGGCTGGATGTATTTGGTCCGTCTTTTTCTAAATCTGCCAAAGGGAAAAGCGTTTGACCTTGTATGTATGTAAGATCAAAGGGATAACCTTCAAACCGTTGTTTTTAAAACATTTTCTGCACATATGCTGCATTAGATACTCGGCAGCATTAAGCTTTCTTAAGGTTTGTTGGAGGTTTGAACAGTTTTACGTGACTAAATTGCTGGAAGTTCTTACTTGACTTGATAGTTGAATTCGTACCACAGATCTTATATGTATATACGTATGTTTGTATATATGTATGTATGTATACACACACGCATAACTGTGGATCGTTTTTCTATGATAGAACTTAGAAACTTACTTTTTTCACATGATGTATGGCTACTGCATTTTTACAGGATGTATGGCTACTGCATTTTTACAGGATGTATGGCTAATGCATTTTACAGGATGTATGGCTAATGCTCATGCTAAGCTTATTGTTTTCTGTTGTAAGCCTGCTTTGTGTCCTTAAACTGTTATATGCTTTAAATGTACAATGGTTAGACTTTCTAATCATGTATTCGTGTCAACTCTCTTCATGATGCTACAGCCGTCCAGTAGATCAGATTACAACGGCTTGTCGGAGTTCCTATCGTGCGCAACCACACCCATCGTAGATCCTCAGTTCTTTGCATTTCTGCCAACTGAAGCAAAAGAAAACCAAGCATCATTTACAAAATGTTCGACATTACCAGGTATGGTTGAATCGAGCATGTGTATGTTAAGAGTTACGATTTTACCCTGCCATCTCTTAGCTCAAATATCACCGCAGTTTCCGTAAATGGAATTGGTCGTGTAGGTGCCACCTGGGTACATCCCAAACAATATTAACCTTTTAGGATCAATGCTAGAAAATAAGTTTGGGTCTTCAACAAAACAGCCGCTCTCCAAATCACAAAAAAAAAAAAAAAAACCTAAATTGGAGGATTTGATTACACCAAAAATTGATCCATCTCTAACCATGCGACGTATATGCCGTTTGAACAAGAACATGACATATATGTCGTTTACCATCTCTGGCAAAATGCCATTCTTATTGTCTGCCGGTTGGAGTTTCCAGACCGGCAAAGTGCTGTTTTTATCGTAGGTTGGAGATGCCCCCAGATGCCACCTCTGGGTGGATATTGGGTTCGTTTGATGTAGTTTGGATGGGTGCTAGAAACTAGAAAGTACAAGCAATAGTGCACATCTTTTAGATAGATCGATGCAAACCTTTGGATCACAATTGTCGGCTTCTTTTTTGTGCTCCAGATGAGTCTTGTCTCGAAGTTCATGGTCGATACAGACTTTATCCTCCTGGCAGTTTTCGCCAACGATGTTACCCATATATGGAAACCCACAGTCACTCCATTTCCAAGTTACTTGATCCAAGTACCTTAAGTAGACATTTCCATTCGAACCGATTAAGAACAATTGGTTCCTTCCGACACATGGTCCAGTCGAGCCAACCAACGTGACCCCAAGGGATGGTGTTCCATGTTCCACCCAATTCCAACCATCCATAGGATTCCAATGATACTCGATGAGCCTACCGTCTTCTGATATCATGAAGAGAGATCCCGTCAGTGATCGCGACGAAGGCCTCATAGCAGTTCCTGGATGTTTCGATAGCACCATGTGTTGTGACTGGTAGTGTCGGTGCCATAGCCCCGTTACCTTGTTGTATTGGTACAACTGACCGTCTCTTCCAACGACAAACACGAGGTTTTCTCTAAACAGTTCTTGGTCTACTATACTCGCTATCTTTGAATCTGAAGGGTTTCGACAATCTTTCCACTTGAACTTCCTTAACGCAACCTGAAAACATAGTCGATTCATTAGCATCGAGGTTTTCTAGTCAGATTTGGATGAGTTTCACATTTAAAGCTCGCGTGTTGCCAACTTACTGTTAATTGTAACCAAAGGGTCATTGGCCGTGCGGTACCCGAGTTACCGAGATCCCAACCTTCCAAGAGGTGAAGGGTTCAAACCTCAATATTTGTTGTATATGAATATTATATATATACTTCAAAAAGAACTTACCGTTAATTGTAGCAACCCACCAGTTTTACCAACGAAGAAGAGCGAGTCTTCGGGTGTAACTTTGGGATATTCTCCGGGAGGTAGATCCCACGGCCTACCTCCAATAACTTGTCTTCCTTTCTTTGCACCCATGCGATTTATCCACGCAAGTTCATTACCGGCTCTTTCTTGAATAATCAGATCGTTATTTTCGTCTACCAGAAACAAGCTGCTATTGTAGCTTCCAAGTGCGCCTTTCATTGGCATCTGATGCTCATGCTGAACCCAAAGCCACACGTTTTCAACATTCAGAAACTCGTAAATTAGCCCGCTTTCAGTTACAAGGAAGAACGAGCTACCCTCGTGCATCAGACGGAGACGGAAGTTTGTATTAATATCACTTTCTGGGTCTGTGTACGTCTCTTCTTGGGATCTACTTCTCGAAGAAGCAGGGGAGACAAGATAATAATGCTCATGAGCTTTATTTCCCGCTCGCCTTCTCGATGCCGGCCTGGTGGTTCCTTCGTCATTGAGTTCATCTTTTACGCCTACGAAACAGTTCAATGGACCACGATCCTCGGTGCAGTATTCGGCATTCCACCCTTCACTCTCGGGGGATTCTATTATTGACCATGTGTACTTTGTAGCCATTCGTCTCCGTGTGTTTACAGGTGGGGTTGGACCAACCCCGTCACCACCGGTTTTCGATTGGTGCAGTTCTCCGAGCCGACCGTCGTCCAAATGAAACAGGAGCCGACCCACTTGAAGTTGCAGCCCTGCAATGCCTTTGGCAACTTTGGTATGTGGAGGGTGCATATGATTCACCCAAAGTTCTTCAACATGCTTCACTGGAGCATTGCCTGTCTTTACATGAGCAGTGAGGATATATAATTTTACCACGAAATCGGGTACTTTTCGGAAGGTGGAAATGGTCGAAAGCCCCAAAGATGCATTTCTCCAATATTTAGTTTCAAATGGACGCTACACAAAATGGGTATTTTAGGACGTCCAACCGTTTTTGGACATCCTAATAGAGTACTTAACGGAACTTTTATGTTTTAGGACCAACGTTCATGTGTTCTACACAATGGCGGAAGTGTCTTATAAATAAGATGATCTATATATCTCGTGTTCTATTAGATTTCCCAAATTCATCAATCGATCTTGTTAGATGGTTTAACTTCGTCTTAACAACTTATTGTAACGCCATTGTGTAAAAACAATATTGTTGATCGTATAAAACACAAGTCACATTTAAGATGTAGGCATACCTTCTTGTTTTGAGATGTTATATTCGAAGACAGAACCAGAAGCCGTTGTTAGAAACAAAGAGAACGGATGTGTGTATGTTTCGTCCAGCGTCACAAGCGTCATGGACGTGAGGTGTTGATCTCTCGGGCTCCCGTGAATTACCCATTTCCATTTTCTTTGGTGTAGCCTTCTCTCGACCAGGTTCCCACCCTGTAACAGTTGGTAGATTTCGATTAGAAAACTTCGAAGATTTCAACAACAAAAAATGTTTCTTGATCGAGTACTTTGGTCAAGAGAAGCAGCGAGTCGGAATGAGATCTGGTTCTTCGGTGTACGGTGCAGCCTATCAATGGTGTCAAAGCAGTGTCTTGTGTTATTTCTTTGCTCCATATGTGCTTCTTCCACATCGGCTTTGAAGTCCTGTCGAATTCATACAGATCCCCACTCGAACTGCATTTCATAATCCAAGTTTCAAGTCAACACATGAAAACAATCATCATCGGTTCGAGGGACATCAACACATGAACCCATAATATCTCAGCTGGAGGTGGAGTCTGTTGACGGAACGTAACCGATCTGACATCTACCTCAAATAGCATAGTAGTTGTTTATGTGAATACATAGATAAAGAGAGGTGACCACCTTATTGTGAATATGACTTGTGGCCTAATTGAACCAACATCAACTATGGCTGCAACATCTGCACCAGGAGGCTTCCCATGGTTTATCCATCTGTTTACATCATGTAAAGACATTAATACCCTTTTTCCATAACAAGAGTTCTGAAAGGGAAAAAAGAGAACCTTGGAGGGTCAGCCTCACTGAGCTCTAATAGCAGCCCATTCTTTGTGCAGAAATATATCCTCCTGTATTCATTATGCACAAGATCAAACAAAAAACATTTCTCTTTTAAGCATTATATATATATATATATAATATATATATATATACACGGAATATGAACTCATCCACCCTATTTTTTTTTGCAAGGTTTGAACCTTTGACCTCATGAGAGGCTGGGCTGAGGGCTCTACCATGAACCGGATACTGCTAAGCCAAAAACCCTTTTTTAATAAAAAAAAACAAGAAACAAAATTAAGGATGCTTGCTTCAGGGAACGGAAACGATGATAAAAACGTTGGTGAATGGAAATGGGAATGAGTTTCATTCCCCTCCAACTTGTTGATAAATGTTCCGTTACCCGGTATCTGATTATGACACGTTCGATTGGAACAAAACCAAACACCATTGTTTATACCGCACCATGTGACCAAGTGAATGCCGATAAGATAACCCTTGGGCACGATAACCATTAAGATAAAATCTCTTGATCTTAGTTACTCACTCCTTTTCATGTGATGTAACTCCAGATTGGATTTGTATCGTCGTGCTAGAATCTAGAATCGGCACAAACTCGACCCATACTGGCTGTGAATTTTCATTTAGCTGAATCTGCAAAGTAAATAAATAGCATCAGGTTGCGAAATGACTAAATCAAACAAGCATGGTAACTTCCGTGCACACTGGGATCAATGAAAGGTAAAATGTAAACATATCCTGCTTCTACCCTGGTTCATAAGAGCATCTCCAACGGTTTTTCCTTAATTTATCCAAAATGTAGAAATAAAAAGCAAAATCTCTAAAAAAGGGGTATCTAATTCCAACAGTTTCTTCGATTTGGAGATTCTTTTATTAATTATATTATTAAAATACTCAATAATTTTAGAAAAATATCCTTCTCTCCCTCGTTTAATTTTATTTGTAGGTCCCCATAAATCCCTTTTTCCCGTTTTGGAGGCGTTTTTAAAGGCGTCAATATATCGGTTTGATTGGTTAAAAACCGCCATAAGATCGATCAGGTTGAATCCCGAGTTATTCAAACAGAGGAAGGAAGAATCAAGATTTCTTGGAAGTACTTACTTGATACAAGATTCCTGCCTCAGAAAGAGCAAAAACTGTGTGATTGACCAAGAAAATAGAAACTGCATAACCTGCTTGTACTGGCAACAAATGAGGTGCAATCACCCATTGCAACCCATTCCAAAACCTCTCGTAAATGGAACCACTCACTCCAGTCACCCAAATCGAATCATCCGACATTTTTATCAGCGAAACTCTCTTTCTCGTTGCCAAACCCCCAATCTTTCTTTCGTCTTTCTTGATCATCTTCTTCTGCGCATCACCATCCTTACTCGAATCCTGTTTCTGATTCAATCCAATTCTTGTTTCATCGTTGTTTCTTGTTTCATCGATCGGCTCGATGACACCCACTTTTGTACAGTTGTTGGTACCATTGACACATGACAAAAGATCATAAGGTAACTTCACTTGAACCCAAGAGTTGGATTCCTCTTCAAATTCCCAGAAAATGGTCGTCTTTTGTTCGAATTTTCGATTGGTATGCTGATGAATATGATGATGGTGTTGGCACCATGATGATGAAGAAGAACAAGAACAAGATAGAATCTTGATCAAGAAAAGTGATTGGATGATGATGACCCATATGAGAAATGATGGAAAGAATCTGGTCATGATTGTTTTTTATGTGCATGATCAGGGTACCCACTCAAATTAGATACAGAAATATGTATCTATATATATATGTATATGAGAGTAAAGATCCACATATGGGGTTAAACAAAATAAGGGTTTGAATTTTACCTCTGTTGGTGATGATCCCCTTATATGGGTCATAACTCATAGATAGATACACATACAGTATACTGAATCTTTCTCAAATAACATGACAAAAACCAGGAGAGAGAGAGAGAGAGAGAGAGAGAGAGAGAGAGATTAGGTGTGGGGCTTCATGGACATTAGAAGGATATTAAAAAGCTTTAAGAATTGCTTTAGATATCATATTCAAGAGTCTAAGACTTTTTTGTAGCAGTGTTATCTGGGTTTTTTTTAATGTAAATAAATGAGTAATTAAACTCCAAATATAATTTATTAACTGTAATTTAATTACTTTTTTTTTTCTTTCTAAAAATGTGGTCTTGACTACATATTTAATGGTATGATATTATTTGATGTATTACTTGATGTGTAATAAATGATAAATGAAAATTTATTTAAATGACAAATAAATAAATAATGTTATTTGGACAAATCGTTGATTATCGACAACTCCAATTTTAACACAGAATCCACGGACACAAATATGAGAGAGAATTTTTTGACACACTCAACGGCTGAGGCTAGCGGAGGGTCTAGGATCGATTCTATGACATGTTTTGTATTTGGACGAAGTCAACTCATCCCTATGCCAACTGAGCTATATCCCATGATCGGTTATAGTATTTTTATGTTTTATTCAATTATAATCTTTATGCAGGTATGTTTTAATTTTTTTGGAGGCCCTGTTGCATCCAAAACTTTTGATTACATTGCATAATGAGATAACAAAGAATATATGTTAAGAATAAAAATGGAGTAAACCTAAAACGATTAACAATATGAAACTAAACCTAAATCATTAATGATTTGAACCTAAAACCAAACAATTAATGATTTGAATATGAATAATTTCGGCTATATTTTTACACAAGTCGATAAAAATACCATGAGCACATGTAAATTTGGGTCCCAAAATTTTGGGAGCCTTGTTCAAAATCTCACATTTAACATGTTAAGGGACGTCCTTATTTTTATGTAAAAAATATTTATAGAAGTATAAATATATAAATTAAAACATAAAGTTTCTAAGTTTAAAAAATAGAGCAACGTTTTTATCAATTTTACTATTTTATAATCAATTTATATATTTTTAATGATTTTCTAATTATAATACAAACAAATAAACATTAGTTGCATGGTCCATAAATATCAGAAATCTGTTTCTTTCTTTTTAATGGATTATTGAATTTGAGTGGTTAATTTATTAGATATTTGTTTATTATATGACAATTTTGTTGTTCATTTTAGACTCAGGTTGTTTATGTTCTTTTGAAACTCTTATTTGGTCAAATAAACCAAATTAGATGAATTCAGTAGATTTACGTAGCAAGTTGGATATCCAGGTTAATAAAAAAAATGTATAACTTTTTATGCGAAAATAATATTGATAATATTTTTCCATAATATTCTCGTAGTCAACTAACGTGTTCCATCCTACAATCCAAATAGGGGGGAGTTATCGTGCATTAAATTCAATTTTTATAGTCGGTATATAAGAAACTCCTATAATTTGTAAAAACACGAGAACACTTATAAGTCAACTATTGTGTATTAAATCATATTTTAATAGGGTTTGAGGGATTTTTAAAATTTAAATGAATATTATTATTTTTAAATGGTAAATAGGTAGAGGGGTAAAATTGGAATAGGAGTACAAAATAAAATAAACCAGTCTAATTGTTCTGATCATCATAGAACTAATAATCATGTAATTGTCGACTGTTGTTATCACAACAACTGATAGTAAGGAGCATGGTAAAACAGGAAAATTACATCACAGGGTCGATAGGTGTAGGGAGAAAAAAGGTAGTCGACTTTGGAGGGCATTGATGAAGAAGAGGAAGACGATTTCTAAGAGATATGTCTTACGTATCGTATCTTCATCACAGACGCAACATATATCGATGATTCCATTCTATATCACATGATTATCATAGTGTGAGTGTCACACGGTTAGGGCAAAATCAATAAGTCGTTACTTTGTTTGGGCATCACAACAAATCTATCATAGTGTAATAATTATAAGAAGGAATCGAAAAATTGTACTCCAGATCAGTAACATACGATGATTTCCCTTGTTTATCACAAGATCGTCACAGTGTAAGCATCACATGCTCAGTGTAAAATCAAGAAATCGTTACCCTATTTGGAAATCATAGATTTATCACAGTGTGATTATCGTAAGGAAAAATCAAGAAATCATTACCCTATCATACATTTATCACAGGTTCATTATTACATGTTTAGGTCAAACTCGAGTGGTCATTAACATTGATAGTGTTCACACTTTTTTTTGCAACAACAGATGTATTGTACACTTATGTTTATCACATTTTGATTACGAGCACCATTGAAATCTTCCCTTCTAGTAGAAAAAGGAATTTGGAACCGAGGATATCACAATATGATCGAATATGCAGATTCAAAAAACGGTGGGGACGTGAGATTCGACGTGATCAGATTCGAATTTGAAATCATAGGATAATTACAATTAATCAGAATAACATAAAAATTGTAAAAGTTACCTAATTATATGCTATCCTTATTGATTTATTTTTATTTATTAAGATTTAAAGTGTTGGTTAAGAAGATTAGAGACCCACAATTGTTCTCACATTTTCGCAAAACAAATGGGTTCTCGTTTAAACTCCCGCCTATATATATATTCATATATAGCAATATAAGTTGGGTTTCTGTGAGGATAATTAAGATGAGAAGTATAAGAAGAGATCTCCATCATTTAATACACATTAGGATGAAATACACCGAGATGCACGAGATCAATCTTCTTATCAAACGCGATTTTTGAATGAGTTTGAGATTAAATGGATGAGTTCCTGCTTCAATTGCACACTGATATGATTTTGTTTCTATTTCAATAAGTTTATGCCTATATTTTAATAATGTACAATTTAAAAACACAATTAATTTCTCGATTTTCTATTTGTTTTTTGTAAATTGCTTCATTTAGCTTCAACCCAACCCATCCTGTTTATACTTATTTGTGACACTTCATTACACACTCGTGTAAAAATTGAAATAAAACTCGTTGATAGCTTTTACTTCATTTCTTCTTTCCATAGACGTTGGTTTGTTTGTATGGTTACATTTTGATTTTTATATGGGTCAATTGTATTCTGTATGTGTTTGATATATGAACTTTCAACTTTCTATTGTTTTTGCCTATTTTGTTGGTTCGTCGGAATTTGATAGCATTGAAATGATCAATTCTGTTGATCAAATTCCATTCTAATGTTTGATAACCTATGAAATGAAACTGAATTCCAAATATTCTTTCGTTTAAGGATTTCACCATTTTTTTGTAAAAGAGAGATGAAATTAAAATCCATTCGATACAAATTTTTATAAGGGAGAGGCTAATGGCACCCCTATAGGTTACCATTGACACCCCTATGTAGACTTCAATATGATTATTTTTTTTGGTTTTATTTGTTTTTTTTTGTCTTTTTATTATTATTACTTTTTGTTTTATTATTATTTAAAGAAAATCTTAATTAATATATGTTATTCATTTTATTTTCTGTTTTTTTATTTATTTATATTATATTTTAATTAATATAAATT